GGGCTCTAGAAAAGGGCTGCGCGCTCAGTTCTTATTCCCTCTGCCATCTGATTTCTCTCTTCTTACCCCCCTCTCGCCACCCCACTCCAGCTCCCCTGCCTCTAGCTCTTCTCTCAAGGAATTCCCTTCTTGTATCTCTCTTTTCTCCTCCCACCAGCTCTGGAGCTCCCGAGTTCCCCTCGTCCTGACACCCACTTCCCATGGGGCGACCACTTCGCTCGCTGGATGACATCTCCGTGTCACCCTGCTTCGCGTGAGTAGGACTGTTCCCCTGGCTCTTAACTTAAGCGCTGGCGCACAGTAGGCGCACAGGCACCGCCGAATAAGTGAATGAAGAAATGAGTAAATACGGCTTAGACACACGCTACTGTCTGAAACACCGAAATCACAAGGCTTGACTAGATCCTGGAATTCTAACCACAAGTACTGCTGTGCCCACTTCTGTGCGGTGCTCCGCAGAAGCGACCCAGAAGGGAGGTAGCATTGTCATGGGAGGACCGAGGGTCTGGAGTGCGGGCCTGCCTTCGGTGTCTGTGTTACCTAATTCGTGACTCAGGGCAAGTCGGGCACCTCTCTAAACCCCCTTTCCTAATCCTAAAAGAAGGACGATGATAATAAGACTGATCTCACAGGGCTGTTGTGAAGCTTCGATGAAATAATGTATGCGAAGTTCAAACTCTACACTTGATGGCAGATGTTAAGAGAAAAGAACTCTGGATGGAGAGCCTGTGGCTCCAAGTCCGGGTTGAAATGCCCCAGCGCGCAGGGACTGGGTTCACAGGCGCCTTGTGCGCAACATGCACTCCCGAACCGGCCCCGCGGCTAAAACCCGGCAAATGGATGGAGAGACGCAATTTGTCGGTTTTTAAGTCTCAATTTTAATCTCTAAAGTCCCTGATAATTTTCATCCGAGAACGGGCTCTCCGCCTAAAATAAAAAGCTGATTTTCCTCTCCCTTCCAGCCAGGATCCAGAAGCAGTACCGTAGGCCTCCGCCTGCTGCTCTTCTGGGTCGGGGCTGACCATCCCAGGGCTCCGGGCACGGCGCAGAGCGAGCTGGAAAGTGGGTGCTTTGCAGCCAGAGAGCATCCTGGAACCCGAGGTGGAGCGGTGGGGCTGGCTGGCGCCGGGGCCGAGCAGGGTGGGGTGGGGCAGGTTTGCGGAGAGAATGTGTCCGCGGTCTAGGCAGGCTTCCCTACCCCGGGAGGCCTAGGCCATTTCCCGTGTTGGACCCCTCTGCCAGAAATTCCTTTAGAAAAATCCCAGGCCGGAATGCTCTGGGAACGGCGGGGAGCTAGGGCCGCGCCCGTCCGGGGAAGGGCAGCTCTTTAGGGAACGGAAGGGTAAAGGGTGGAGAGGGATCCCGGCAGGGGCACTCGCGCTGCAACGGGGGACCCCAGGAAGAATTTGGCTCCGACTTTTTCTAACCCCACCGCCCTCCAGGGCGGAGACAGTGCTCCACCACAGGGTCAGAGGCCCCTAGGGGACAGCGCCCCCTTGCCGCCGTGGGCATCCCCACTCCGGCGCCAGCCTCTGGCGCCCTCCCAGCGCGGCTCCTGAGCAGAACGCGCACGCAGTGGGGCCGCGCCCGGCACTAGGTTAGGAAGGTCCGCAGACTCCGGGCAGAGCAGCGCAGGCAAGTTGGATTCCATAGACCAAAGGCAAAAACGGAGAAAACAGCGGGGGCGGGGGCAGAGACAATCCCTGTCGTGATTGTTGTTTCAAGTCGTTTAATTTCTTGCATTTCCTCCGGGGAAAGCGCTTGAACCTGGGTTTTCCAGGACCCCGGCGTTAGCAGCGCCGTTGCTGCTACCGGCGCGTCCTGGCTAGTGTGAGCTGTCTGCGTGCCGGAACCGGGCTCTTTCACTGGTTCCATTCCTTCTTTTCTGCATTAATTTACACCCGTGCGTTAATGTACTTGGGCAACTTTATGCGAAGCGTGCTCGCGTGCGTGCGGGCGGCGCTAAGGGAGGGATTCGAGGTCAAATGTGACTCTGACGCCTCTGGTCACTGCAACCTTCAGACCGTCAATCCTCCGGAGCCCTGGCTGGCGCTTTCCAAGGCATCCCCGACGCCTGCTCCGGCCCGCGCTGGGCCCAGGACCCCCGCGGCCCGTTAGTTGTTGGTCCAAAGGCGCATCTGTCGGTGAACCCGCAGGCAGCCGAACCAAGAAGGGCAAGACTTAAGGGCTGTGGTGCAGGGTCCTCCGGGTGCTTGGACCCGCAGCGGGATGGGATGGGGGTCCCCGCCGCAGGGAGAGCAGTCAGGGTGACGGGTCTGCGCGTGACGATTAGGGGCACAGTGAACACCCCGCGTGCGACGGACCTGTCTGGCACACAGACCTGAGCCTTACTGTTCCGGTGTGAATTGCTTAAACTACGCTCTCTGCTCCTCTTAAATGAGTTTTTCTTTCCCTTTTCCTTGCTTTCTTGCTTCCCTCCTTCCTTTCTTCTCTCCTCACCCAACCCCCTATCCCTCTCTTTCCTCTCTTTTCTCTTCCTCCTTCCTTTCTCTTTTTCTCCCATCCCTCCCACCTTTTTCTTTGTCTCTTCCTTCCTTCCTTCCTTCCTTCCTGCCTTCCTTCCTTCCTTCCTTCCTTCCATCCTTCCTTCCTTCCTTCCTTCCTTTCTTTCTTCTTTCTTTCTTATTCCTGTCCTTCCTTTCCTTTCTTTCCTTTCTTTCCAAATATCGGTTTCCAGGAATACAGGACCTGAAGTCAGAAACCCCGGGTGCAAGTTGCATTTACCAGACCTCAGCCTCAGTTTCTTCACTTGTAAATGCGGGTAATATAGGATGGCTGATATAGTATTTGTGAAAGCAGCTCGTATATTTAAAGAACTGTGAAATGGTATAAAATAATGAATGGTTGAAATTTTAAATAAAATTGACAGCCAGGCCTCCAAAACGTTCCCCTTGAGGAGCTTTCCTTATTCTATTCCAAACTGAAGAATTTTGGTGACACTGGGGCGCCAGAACTTGGGGCCAGAACAAGTTCTGGGCTGGCAGTAACTCAGCTGGTGGCCCTCGTCTTTGCACGGTTTTGTGTATGTGTTTTGCTGGTGCTTTTTGTCCCTCACAGCAGGCTGCAGGTGAAAATTATCACCACCATCTTCTTTGCTCACACTAACTTGTCCATACTTTATTGACAGTCTTTGCAAAGGTCATTCTCTGGCTCATCGGAGCCTCTACACCAGGGGTCCTCAAACTACGGCCCGCGGGCCACATGCAAATACAAATACTGTATTTGTTCCCGTTTTGTTTTTTTACTTCAAAATAAGATATGTGCAGTGTGCATAGGAATTTGTTCATAGTTTTTTTTTAAACTATAGTCCGGCCCTCCAACGGTCTGAGGGACAGTGAACTGGCCCCCTGTTTAAAAAGTTTGAGGACCCCTGCTCTACACAGCCCTCTGCAAAGTAGGCAGCCCAAGTTTTAGTGTTAAGCTGTTTTCCAGTGAAGGTGAGGCTGCAGCATGCAAGTGGCAGCGCAGAGACCTGAACATACATCTCTATCCCTCATGCCTTTGCTTCTGGGTTCTAGGGCTGCCCAGGCTCAGCTCCCAGCTCCCCACCCTCACCAGAGCCCCAGGCCAGAGAGCAGGGCTTCTAACAAGCCGATGGGTCTCCCCCTGCCCTTGTGCCTTTTCCAGTCCCATCTCTCCAAGTTCCATTGGACCTTCCCTCATTCAAAGGGCGCTTAAATAAGTGCAAGGTAATGTGAAGAGCAAATGGGCTAACCCTGTTGAGGCGCATGCTGAAGAGCCAGGAAACTGGACCCAGACTTTCCGGCCACACTATCCCCCACCCTTCACAGCTGGTCCAATAACCAGAAACCTTTACTTCCCT